ATCTGTTTAGATAAAAGATGGTATCAAGATATGGAATTATTCATTAGAGAAGGAATGTCCTACACAGCACCATGAAAAAACAGCTGTAATCAAGCATTTGAGTGTGTGTGTTTCTCAACAGATGTATTCCTCTAAATGTCTTAGAAATACACAGCTTTGGTATTCAAGTTCCTCAAACTACAGAAAGTTAGGAGTGAACGAACACACTGCGGTATTATAGCTCTTTTAAGCAGACTGATGTGCTTCCACATATACCCTATATTTGAGCTTTGCAGAGTTACTTCTAGGTATGAGGGGCCCCGGTGCAAGAGTATTTACAGAGCAGTAAATTGAAGTGAATTTTCTAGGTGTAGTCCCAGAAAAACGTTAGGAGTTTCATACATTGAGAGACATTTTTGCTTTTATTTAATACCAAGGTCCTGTACAACATTCCATTACCTGGTTAACGAAAAGTTTAGCACTTTTTTAGCACTTGTGAATAATCTGACTTTTGCTATTCTATTTCCCTTGTATGGGAAGAAGCGTTTCCCATTAGCTTGAATGAACTAGTAAATTCATTGCATCATTCAAAAAGCATACAAAAAGTTTTTAAAATGCTTTTTCCGGTATGCCTTTCAAAAATCCGTGAGATTAAAAGAGATTGCAGAGGAATATCTAGATTTTTTAGAACCTTCTCTGTAATATGTGCAAAACAAATGAATATTAAGCTAATATTTCATACGTTTATTTTGCCTATTTAAATGGAAATCAGTATTTTGCAAAAGCAAATGTGACATGGAGAAAACATTATTTAAAAAAACATTAAGGGCAGATTAAGGGTGCTTTAAAAACTGTGCTTTTATTTATCCTTGTCCTTCCGTATGGAAAAATACCCAAGTCTGCATTCAAACATCTGGAAAGACAAAAACATATTTCATTACTGTAACTGGTGTTATGTAGAGTTATTTCAATAACTTGAATTCAGAAACCCTAATAACTATTTCTAGTAGTATCTGACACAGACTGCATGCCAACACAGTTCTAATGCGAGCATTATCTGGTCCTTATCTCCGAGTGCATTTAATTATCCCAAATCACATTGATCGACAGCTTCATAAACGGGCAATTACTGTTTCTCTTCCCCCCTCCCATCACCTAAATTTCTGTCAGTGCCAGGGAAAGCCCAAAATGAGAGGATCCCTCGCTCTGCGCCCAAAGGGCAGCCCGCTTCCTCTCCGCTTCTCCAAGGCAGGCGAATTTTCTACTTTTACTGCCTTGCTTCTCTGATACTTTCGACTTTCCCGTCGCCGGTTTTCAGCAGGCCTCGGTAAGGGGACGAGGCGGGTGGCGTTACCGGCCTCCGCTCGGCCCCAGGGGCAGGCCGCTGGGAAGCCCGGCTCTCCTCTGCCCGCCGCCACGCTTGGCCTCTTCTCCTCCAGAGAGGGGTCGGGGGCGCGGGCCGC